CCGGGCGGCCGCGGCCGCGGGCGCGGGCGCCGCCGGCAGCAGCGGCAAGGCCGCCGCCGCCGCCCCCAGCAGCAGCAGCAGCAGCAGCAGCAGCAGCAGCAGCAGCAGCAGCAGCGGGAAGTCGGCGCTGCAGCGGGTGCTGCGGCAGGCCCGGCCAGCCATCACTCTGCTGCAAATTGCGCAAATGCTCGTGGGGATGTTCTTAGCAGCAAACGGGGCTTTGAAGCTTTCAGATCCGGAGCAGATTTTGAATGCCCAGATAGCCCTGGCGATGTACACTTCTTACGCAGTGTTGTTTCTGCGGCTGTACTGCAGCAGCTACTTGCCGCACCTCAGCAGCAACCGCGTGCTGCTGCTGCTGCTGCTGCACTTCCTCGCTGCTGCGGGCCTCTTCCAGCTCGCCGCCAGCCCCGCCAAGCCGGCCCTCCTCGCCCACCTTGCTGCTGCTGCTGCGCTCTCGCTGCTCCTCGCTTCCCTCTGCTCCAGCAGCAAACGCGGCGGAAGCAGCAGCAGCAGCAGCAGCAGCAGCAGCAGCCGCTGGCTGCCGCTGCTGCTCGCCTTCAGCTTCCCTTGCGGCTTGGCGATGGCAGTCAAGAAGCAGCAGGACGAGGCCGCGGCGTGCGACGCAGCAGCAGCAGCAACAGCAGCAGCAACTCCTGCTGCAGCACAGTCTCCCGAACGCCCCGCGTCTGCTGCAGCAGGCGCGCCAACTGCGGCCGCGAGCAGCAGCAGCTCAGACGGCGCACTGTCGAGCAGCTGCTGCTCTGCTGCAGCAGCAGCAGCGGGAAAGCCAGCAGCAGCAGCGCAGGGGCCGCAAGGCAAAGGTTTGATACGCCAGCTGACACACAAAAAAGCAACTATTAACCTCACGTGGCTGCAGCTTGCTGCTGCTGCTGCAGGAGCTGCTGCTCCTGCGGTGTACGGACACCTCGTTTTCGGCCAATGGGGAGTGGGACTCTGTGTCTTTGGGGGCCTCAGATGGGCACTGGAGCTACACCTCAGCCAGCACGCACGCTTCATGTGAAGCAGCAGCAGTTTAGCAGTTCCAGCAGCAGCAGCAGCAGCGGCAGCAGCGACAGCAGCAGCGGCAGCTCCAGCAGCAGCAGCAGCAGCTTCAGCAGCAGCAGTTGCGTCAACGATAAATGTGTGCTTGCTTTTTTCGACCCGCAGTATCGACGTGAAACGCAGCATAAGCAATAGCAGCAGCAGCAGCGACAGCAGCAGCAGCAGCAGCAGTTTGCAGGCAGGGCCCACCAACCAGCTTCTCCGCGCAGCAGCAGCAGCAGCGGCACGAGGTGCTGCATCCGCTCTCTGTTAAGAACAGCAGCGGCAGCAGCAGCTGCTGCTGCCCAAAACAGCGCAGCGAGGTGGGGCGAATTTTGTTTGGTTGTGTCGTTGCAGCAGCAGCAGCAGCAATTGCTGTTCCAAAGACTTGCAGTAGCAGCAGCACGGTATGTGCTGCAGCAACACTGGCTACTGCAACAGCAGCTGCAGCAAGAGTTGCTGCAGCTGCTGCAGCACCAAAGCCGTCCGCGTTGTTTGTCTAGTGTCCTGGGCAACAGCAGGGGCAGCAGCTTTTGCTGCTGCTGAGCAGCCGCTGCTGCTGCCCGAGTAACCCGAGCAGCAGCAGCAGCAGCGGCAGGCGGTGCTGCTCTCGTTTTAGGTAGTGATGCAAAAGACCAGTCGGGAGGTCTGAACTCAATGATGAACCATTTGTAAAGTCCAGTGAAAAGCACGAGTAGTGCAGCAGCAGCAGCTGCTGACGGTCCCGTCGCTGCTGCTGCTGCTTTTGCTGCTGCTGCTGCTGCTGCTTAGTCACCATTGCTGAGACCCCTTCGGTGATTGCAGCTAAATCCCAGCCGTAGTGGAGGGTGCAGCGGCAGCAGCACTAGCAGCGGAAATTATCCCTAGCTGCAGCTGCAGCAGCGCTAGCTGCTGCAGGACCAGGCCGCAACAGCTGCAGGATTAGCACTAAGCAGCAGCAGCAGCAGCAGCAGCAGCAGTTCTGTGGGCGCCCGGAGTGCTCTGGCGCTTGTTGCTTTCGTCTTTGTTCCATTTTGGTTGTCGATTTGGATTTGGGCCGCGCGCTGCTGCTTTTTGTGCTGCTTCGTTAGCTTTTGGAAACTCGTGGCACCAGCTGCTGCTGCTGCTGCTGCTGCTGGGTTTGTTGCTGGTGCTGCTGGGCTTGTTGCTGGTGCTGCTGGGCTTGCTGCTGCTCCTTGGGGAGCAGCAGCAACGCCTGCAGCAGCAGAGCAGCAAAAGCCTGCAGCTAGCTGCTCTTTGAAAGGCTCGTGCTTGTGCTGCTGGCTCTGCGGTGTCTAGACAGCTCGGTCTGCGGCGGAGGGGGCTCGAGCGCCAGCAGCTAAAGCGCAGCACTTCAATTACTTCTTCATTTACAAATACGAAAACAAATATTTCAGCAAATTAAATAAATATTTCAGCAAATTATATGTTTTAGCTTCTCTAAACTGCTGCTCCTCAGCATCCCATCAATACCTGCACTTTTGTCCGGTGAAGGCGCTGCCCAGCTGCTGCTACTGCTGCTGCTGCTATTGCTGCGGCTGCTGCTGCTGCTGCTGCTGCTGCTCTTTCTGGGGGACATGCTTCTCTGCGGCAGCTCTGAGGCAGCAAACTACGACAGCCACAAAGGGAGTGCTGCTGGAGTAGCAGCAAGAAATAAAATGTTTAATTAGGGGATATCTCTGGGGCAACGCGAATGAGGAAAACAGAAGAAGCCAAAGGAGAAGAGCTGCTGCACGGATAGAGAGACGCAGGCAGCAGCAAGCAGCAGCAGCAGCAGCAGCAGCAACAGCGCGGGGCTCAAGGCAGCAGCAGCAAACGCAGCAAAGCCTGACTGGCGCAGCTTTAGAAACTAAGAAGCACAGAAGCACCGGAAATATAATTCACCAAAATGTCAAAAGCAAAGAGACAAAAGTAGCAGCAAGTCAATGCAGCAGGAGAGAGGCAAAGCTGCTGCCCCCTGTCTCGCTGCGCGCCTTGCTGCCACTGCGCTGCTGTTGCTGCTGCTGCTGCTGCTGCTGCTGCTGCTGCTGCAGCTTCTCGGCCTGCCTCTGTATCTACCTTCGCCTTCCTCTGTGTGCGCGGAGCTTTCGGTCGTGTTGCGACACCTTCCGACGCTCCTAACCCTAAACCCTAAACCCTAAACCCTAAACCCTAGTCCGGCAAGGGAGAGGTAGAGGTCCAGCAGCTGCAGCTCATCGGCCTTCAGGTTCGCGTTGTGGCCTACAGCTGCGGGCAGCAGACTGCCGCACAGCAGGCTGCACCACAAACCCTAAACCCTAAACCCTAAACCCTAATCCCTCAGCACCCAAAGGTAGATTCTGAGCCGTTGATGACAAACTACGCAGCAGGATGCACCACAAACCCTAAACCCTAAACCGGCAGACTGCCGCACAGGAGGTTCCGCCATTAACGCTGACCACTAAACCCCAAGCCCTAAACCCTAAACCCTTAGCCCTTAAAGCTAGATCCTGAACCCTTGATGACAAACCACGACGGTAGGGTTTAGGGTTTGGGGTTTAGGGTTTAGGATTTAGGGTTTGAAGCGTACTCTTCAGAAGGTGTGCTGCTGATGCTTGATAACTCGGGTAGTTTAGAGCTTGGGGCTTCGACGCAAAAGTACATGCTGAAGGCACACAAAACCCTAAACCCTAAACCCTAAACCCTAAGCCGTATACTCTAGACCCTAAACCTCATACCCCAAACCCTAAACATTAAACCCCAACGCTTACATTCCTACTCTCAACGACAAACCAAAACCTAAACCCTAGGCCCTAAACCATTAACCCTCAACCCTGAACCCTAAGGCTTACGTCCCAATCCCGACAACAACCCTAAACCCTAAACCCTAAACCCTAAACCCTTACCCGGCAAGAACTTGGGCGAAACCCTTCAGGCAGTTGAGGTGCTGCACCAATTCGGCCAACACAAATTTGTGACAAAGATTTAAACCCTCGCATGCAGCGCCAAGCCCCAAAGGAAGCCCCACGTACTCCGCAGTAGCTGCTGACGAGACCTGAGAAGCACCGAAACACTTGCTGCTGCTGCTGCTGCTGCTGCTGCTGCTGCTGCTGCTGCTGTTGCTGCTGCTGTTGCTGGTGGTGGTGGTGGTGGTAGTAGAGCTCCTGCTGAAGGTTTGGGGGCTGCTGCTGACGGCTGCACGTACCTGCTGCTTCTGCATAATCGCCTCAGCCTTTGCTGCTGCTGCTGCTGCTGCTGCAGCAACGCGGTGCTGCAGCAGCAGCGACAACAGACACCCCAAAAGCCTGCACGCCAATACCACCCAGAGCGGGCAGCAGTATTCCTGCTGCTGCTGCTGCAGCTGCTGCAGCGGCTGTTGCTTTTGCTTTTCGTGCTGCGGCTTCTGCTGCTGCAGCTGCCGTCCTCACGTACCTCATCCAGCAGCGAACGTACACTCCCAGAGAGATCTGCTGCTGCTGCTGCTGCTGCTGCTGCTGCTGAAGCATCTCTGGCGTGACGGAACCAAATTCAGCACAAAACACTTCTAAGAGATTTGCTTCGTTCCTTGAGGCGCGCTGGCGCCTCCTGCTGCTGCTGCTGCTGCTTTGGTGGGACTTCGGCATAGCGCCTTGCAGCAGCAGCAGCTTCTGCTGCTCGGCGATGAGCTGCAGCAGCTGCTGCGCTGCTGCTGCTGCTGCAGGGGCGCCAGATGTGGGAGGCAACTGCTGCGCCGCTTCCGCAGTTTTCACAGCCGCAGCAAACAGTTGCGAGACCCGCTGCTGCTGTTGCTGCTGCTGCTGCGGCCGAATTTGCTGCTGCAGCAGCTTGGCCTTAAATAGAGACAGCAGCAGCAAATCTCTAAGTATATCTCCTCGCAAGAAGGGGAGCAGCTGTAGCCATACGGAGGGCTTCAGCAGTTGCTGCTGCGGCTGTTGCTCCGCTTCCAGCGGTTCCTGCGGCAGCTGTTGCTGCTGCTGCAGCAGCTGCTGCACCATTTCTGCTGCTGCTGCTGCTGTTATAGAGGCCGCAGCTCCGAGCAAGTGAGTTGTTGGAACGCAACCCCACAGGTAAAGGCTGCAGAAGAAGTCCTTAAGGTGTGCTGCAGCTGCTGCTGCTCCTCCTGAGGCCGGAACCGCTGCTGCTGCTGCTGCTGCTGCTGCTGCCCGCTGCAGCGAAGACCCCAGCAAACAGCCTGCGGCATTCAGCAGCCCCCCCAGTGTCCCTGCCACATCCGCAAGATCATTCTGTAGAGGTGATAGCCAGAACAGCAGCACTTGCTGCACTTCCGCTGCTGTTGCTGCTGCTGCGTTGCTGCTGCTGCTGCGGAGGCAGCGCTGGCTTATTGAGCCCGCGGCAGCAAGCAGCTGCCGCGGCAAAGACGGAGCAAAACCGCCAGCGGGTGCGCGGCCAGCAGCAACTTCAAATCCTCTGCTGCTGCTGCTGCTGCTGCTGCTGCTGCTACTACTACTACTTAAAACAAGCTCTACTTGGGAATCCTCCGCAAGAGAAAGCACTTCCCTTTCCTCTGGAGGCGGCGATGCTTTAATGAGACGATAAGCCCCTTTTAAAGTTTTGCTGAAGACGCCGCAGAGCTGCTGCTGCAGCTGCTGCAGCCGCTGCTGCAGCTGCCGCTGCTGCAGCTGCCGCTGCTGCTCCTGGCAGGGGTCGAGGGGGGAGTCATCAGCTTCTGCTGCTGCTTCTGCTGCCGCTGCTGCTGCACCTGCTTGGAACGCCTAAAAGCGCAGACACAGCCACAAGCACTCGCCCATGGCAGCCACAGCAGCAGGCACAAGCAGCAGCAGCACAGCAGCAGCAGCAGCAGCAGCAGCAGCATACCGCATGCAGCATGGAATAGTGGTGCGGAGCTTCAAGGCCTGAAGCGCTGTCCTCAGCAGCAGCAGCAAGAAGAAGAGATTGGCCCAGGAAGCTCCAAGCAGCAGAGACGCAGCCGAAGTAGTGCTGCAGTGTACAGACACATTCCCGAAAAAAATAAAGTCTCAGCAGCAAGAAAATAAAAATAAATGGAAGTTATTTAATTAAAAAAAGAATAAACAAATAACAAAATGCATGTTAAGGACACCTACTGTTTCCTCTGCTTCAGCAGAAGACACCCTGCTGCTGCTTCCTGCTGCTGCGCCTGGCTGCAGCTCCAGCTGCTGCTGCTGCTGCTGCTGCTGCAGCTGCAGGGGAGCTTCCCTTTGACTCTGCGCGCAACACAACTGACACAAAAGAAGGAATAAGAAGAATAACAAATGAAGAAGCAAAGAAAAGAGGAATAAAAAATGAAGAAGCAAAGAAAAGAGGAATAACAAATGAAGAAGCAAAGAATCGAAAGTGCAGCAAAAAGCAAAAAGTGGAAAAGACAAAAAAGAAAAGAAAGCGGAGGCGGGGCTTTGCGTACGGCAGCTTTGGCAGCTGCATGCAGCGGCTGCGCAGCAGCAGCAGCAGCGGCAACCCCGTAGGCGCTCCCGCTGCTGCTGCTGCTGCTGCTGCGCTGCAGCAGCAGCAGCTCGTGCAGGGACTGCAGCACGCGAGGCAGCAGCTGCCTCGCCACTGCAGTCTTGAGAGAAGCAGCATCACTAATTATTTCGTCTTGAGGTGTATAGATCAGCACTTTGGCAAATCTCACAGCCCTGAAGGCTGAGGCTGAGCAGGCTCCTGCTGCGCACTCTGCTGCTGCTGCTGCTGCTGCTGCTGCGGAGGCTGCTGCCGCTGCTGCTGGGGCTTCTGGTGCTCCCGCTGCTGCTGCAGCCGCGGAGAAGCTAGAAGGAACGAGAATGCTGCTGCTGCTGCTGCTGCTGCTGCTCTCACCTGCCTCCAGCATCAGCAGCTCCCCCGATCGTGTGCAGCACGTGTGCTGCTCTGGGGGGTCGCCTGCTTCGCTGCAGCTGGTGGTGCTGCTGCAGCTGCAGGTGCTGCTGCAGCTGCTGCTGCAGCAGCTGCTGCTGCACCAAGTTGGTGCTGCTAGTGCAGTGACAGCAGCCGTCGCTCGGACTGCTGCTGCTGCCCACCAGCCGAACAGAGAAGCTGCTGCTGCTTCTAGAGATGCAAAGCTTCTGTCAATGCACAGCAGGCTCACAGGTGCAAGCTTGCTGCTGCTATTGCTGCTGCTGCTGCTGCTGCTGCTGCTTTCGCTGCTGCTGCGGATAACGCTACAAGCTGCGGTGCTGGCGGTGCTGTTGCTGCTGATCTCTCGCGAAAACAAAGAGCTGTAGCAGCAGCTAGGAGTGGCGGCTGCGGCGGCCACCGCAAATTGCTGCTGCTGGGGCTGCAGCAGAAACTGCTGCTGCTGCTGCTGCTGCTGCTGCTGCTGTTGCTGCTGCCCGTGCAGCGTTTGTGACAGACACGCAGTGTAGGCCGCTGGAAGCCCCCCAATAGATCGGCCGTGAAGAGCCGCTCTTCGAGCGCCTGCAAAACAGGAAGCCCGACAGCAGCGTATTTGATTAGCTGCTGCTGCAGCAGCAGCAGCTGCTGCTGCAGGTGCTGTGAGCAGCCACCAGCAGCGTAGACACAGAGACACGAGATGATTGCAAAGAGACAGCAAGGGTCAGACTAGAAAGGCAAATAAAAATATAGACTAATGGAGAGGCGGCTGAGATGCAAAAGAGAAAAGGAGCCAAAGAACTGAAGTTCACGTGTACGTACACCTGCAGCAGCAGGAGCAGCGCACTAATATAGAGAAACAGCAGCAAAGTGGAAACGGAGCAGTGAGCAGAAGGAGAAGAAAAGAAACAAAATAAAGGCAAAAGAAGCAAAAAAGATGAAGACGCCGCGGACAAATGGAAGCGAAAATGAAGAAAAGGAAAAGCGGCAAAAAACAGCAGCAGCAGCAGCAGCAGCAGCAGCAGCAGCAGCACAAATAGGTCCCAAGGCTCTGCCCGCGCACCCGCAAGAGAGCCGAGGAACTTGTAAAGAGAAAAGCCATCAGCCAGAACATTAAAGAGAGAAATGCTGCCGCCCGAAGACGAGCAGCCGCGGTAGTTGAAGCACAAAACGCTGAGACCCCTGCGAATAATTAGGACAAATGAACAGAAAAGTGGAAATATTTTCAAAATTAATTAATATTTCCTTTTTTTCCCTTTTATTAAACGCAAATTCGCAAAAATGTGCAGCGAAAATGAGACTCCGGGAAGAAACGAAGATGTGCACTGGCAACAAGCTGTACATACACCTGCGCCAAACTCCCTGCGCTCTGCATGCAAACGGATTCAAAGCAATTCAAATATTCAAAAGTGTTAAAGTTTATTAATATTAATATTAATGCTAATATTTATATTTATTTTTATGTTTCATTTCAAGCATGGAGTGCTTTAAATAGAAACGCATGCACGCCAGCTGCAAATGCCAGCAGCAGCGCCACACAAATTGAAGACAAAGAAGTTAAAACGAATAAACGATTTAAACAAAAAAGAATCAAAAGAAGCAAATAAATTAAAGAGAAAAGATGAATTATTCAAACAGAGAAATAATCAAAAGAAAATAAGTTCAAGAGAAAAGATTAATTGAGCAAAACAGATATCTCATAGGAAGAATAAATTCAGTAATTAAGCGCGCAGCGAGAAAAGGACACAAGAAAATAACTTCTGGGCCAAGGAGTGCTGCTAGTTGCTGCAGCAGCTGCAGCTGCTGCAGCTGCTGCAGATTGCTGCTGCTGCTGCAGATGGCTGCTGCTGCTGCACCTGTTCAAGTAACACTCTACTTCAGGGTCTCTGCCAGCAACCATCATTTCAAGAGCCCCCGCGTTAGGGTTGAACATCAGCACCACATCTCCTCCTATAGAGATCCCGCCTGCTGCCGCTGCTGCTGTTGCTGCTGCTGCTGCTGCTGCTGCTCCCGCTGCTGCTGGCGTGCTGCCTCCAGCCAGCTGGCCTGGGCCGCGGCAGCCGCACACGAAACGCAGAGAGGGCGAAGGCGCCCCCTGGGTGTTTTCTGCAGCAAGTAGAGTCTCATGCGTGCACTTTTGTCTGCTGCTGCTGCTGCTGCTGCTGCTGCTGCTGCTGCTGTGCTGCTGCAGCAGCAGCTCACGCTCCTGTTGCTGAGAGGCGAAACAGCGCGTGTAAAGGCGGGACACGGACTGCACGGCTTTCTGCTTCGCCGCTTCTGCTGCAGCTGCTGCTGCAGTAAAACTGAAGTTCATGAGGGCAGCAGCAGCAAGTCGAGGCTGTGCTCGCTCCTGCTGCTGCTGCTGCTGCTGCTGCTGCTGCTGCTGCTGCTGCTGCGCACTGTTGTCGACGACCTGAAGCCGGCGCGCGAAGCCTCCCATTCTGCTTTCAGGCCTCAAAGGTGCTTCAGCAGCAGCAGCAGCAGCAGCAGCAGCAAGATACTGCTTCGCTAAACACAGCAGCAGGGAAAAAGCTGCTGCTTGCAGCTGAGATGCTTCAGCAGCAAGGCGGCACAAGAATCCCTCGGCCAGCGCAGCGCGCACTGCAGCACAGCGGCTGCCATTTGCTGCCAGCAGCAGCTCTGCCTCTTGCTGCTGCTGCTGCTGCTGCTGCTGCTGCTGCTGCGTCGCATCTTCAGGGGCGCCGGCTGGAGGGCAGTGGCGGCAGCGGCTCGGAGGGAAGCAGAAGTCGTAAGGCAGCATCTCAGCAGCAGCTGCTGCTGCTGCTGCGCTGCAGCAGCAGCTAGCTGGCAGCAGCCAGTGAGTCCCCGGGGCTGGGATGAAGAGACACTGTACATACACCTGCTTCGGGGGAGGGGGCTTCAGCAGCTTAGAGACTGGAAGCAGCAAACGTTTTGCTGCTGCTGCTGCTGCTGCTGCGCCTTTCGCAGCGCAGCTAGCAGCAGCACGAGGCAAGGGAGCAGCAGCAGCAGCCCTGGGCTGCAGGGTCAGAGAGTCGTCGGCCGGGTGCTGCAGCAGCGCCGAGTGCTGCTGCTGCAGGTTGAACACCCTGCTGCTGCTGCTGCTGCTGCAGCAGCGGCCCCAGCAGCGCGCCGCGAGCCGTTTTGCTGCAGCACAAGACCGAGCAGCAGCAGCAGCAAAGTGAGCTCGCCGGCTGTGCTGCAGCACCGGCAGCCAAACCTCAACTCCTGCTGCATCTCCCTGCAGGCCCCACACTCCTGCTGCTTGCTGCTGCAGCAGCGGCAGCGAGGCCAGCGGGGGGGGCACGAGGCAGCGCAGCAGCAGCAGCACGAGCCGGGAGAGGGGTGACCATTGCTGCTGCTGCTGCAGCACTTCTTGCCGCCGGTGCTGCTGACTGGACCTCTGAAACGGCAGCAGCAGCAGCACCAATGCATGCAGCTGCTGCAGCGCAGCAGCGCATGCACGCACGTCTTCTGCAGCAGCAAGCTGCAGAGCAGCAAGCGGCAGCGTCGCCTCCGGGCTGCTCTCGCCCCACAGGCTGCTGCTGCTGCTGCTGCTGCTGCTGCTGCTGCTGCTTGCTGCAGGCGCTGCTGCTGCTGCTTTGCTTTCTGCTGCAGCTGAAGGGTGCGGCAAGCCCAGTACATGCACCAGGCGGTAGCTCTGCTGCTCTGCTGCTCCCTTTTTAGCAGCAGCTGCTGCAGAGGGCGCAGCTGCAGCGCGTCGGGACGCTGCTGCTGCTGCTGCTGCTGCTGCTGCCCCTGCTGCTGCTGCAGTGACGCAAATGTCGAAGAGCTGCGCAAGGAGAGAAGCAATAGAAAAGGCAGTGGCCTCCTGCAGCCAGGATAAGGTGCATCTGTCTAGCTGCTGCTGCAGCCATCCCGGCAGCTGCGCCTCGGCCGCTGCTGCTGCTGCTGCTGCGCCTGCGTCTGCTGCTGCTGCTGCTGCTGCAGCACGCTGCTGCAGCAGCCCGTCGGCCTTGAGGTGAAGAGACTGAAAGGCCAGAAGATGAGAAGACAATAAGAAGCAGCAATCTGAAAGACTTTCTTTCACATCCCCCTCTTCAGCTGCAAACAAGCTGCTGCTCTGCACAGCGTCAGCTGAGCTCAACAGGGAGAGGAGCCCGCTGCTGCTGCTGCTGCTGCTGCTGCTGCTGCTGCTGCTGCTGCTCGTGTCACTGTCGCTGCTGCTGCTGCTGGAGAGCGAGCGGGAAAGACAGGAGGGAGCAGCAGAGCTGATGGCAGCAGCTTTTGCTTCTTCAGAAAGGCCGGGGACGGGAGCAGCAAGGAGGTGCAGCAGCAGCAGCTCGAGGGGCCGCAGCCGCAGCAGCAAATCGTCAGCTGCTTCTGCTGCCAGCTGCTGCTGCATGTACCACTGAAAGAGACTGTTGCTGCCTGGGAAAGCCAGCGCAAGAGTAAGGGAGTAAAGAGCAGCAGCAAAGCAGCAAAGACATGCTGCGCTGCTGAGCAAGACAGAGCCAACGAGAGCCTTGGCAGCAGCAAAGAAACCCCACACTGCTGCTGCAGCAGCAAACACGAAGCAGCACTTCAGACACAGCTGCCTGCAGCGCTGCGGAGGCTCGAAGTGAAACCAAGACAGAGACACGCGGGCGGGGAAGCGCGGCGGCGAGGCGCCCCTCATGCCGGCAGCAGCTGCAGCAACTGCTGCTGCAGCGCAGCAAGAGGCGGTGGGGAAGCAGCAGCACTTGCTGCAGCAGCAAACGGGGGCTTGGGGCCTCGACTGCTTCCAGCTGGCTGCGAAACGATATATATACAAGACATAGGAGGCGCTGCAGCCTCCAGCGCGGGGGGGGGAAGAAGGGGGGGGTGAAGCAGCAGCAGTTCTCGGGAATTCGCGAGAAACGGAAAAGTTAGAATGAAAATTTGCTGCAGAACAAATTGGGGAGGGGAAATTGCTGCTTCGAGCTGCTGTCGGGGCCTGCAGCGCGGCGCTCAGCGCAGAGAAACGCCAGAAATGCAGGATCAGGGGGCCCCTCGACCGGCTCTGAGTTTGTAAAACATGCAGCAGCTCAATCTAAATACTTTCTTTTATTATTCGCGCCGTTTAGGCAAAAACTTGGAGGCTGCATGCGGCAAACTCTTGCCAGTCGTCCGCTGGCGTTGAGAGGGCCCCAAGTGCGCTGGCTGGACCGAGAGGGGAGGGAGGGCCGCCCGCGAATAATACCGAAGCTAAACAAATTTTAATGCAAATTAAAAAGAAGTATTTACGGAAATTAAACTCCGGTGAATATAAGCCGTTGGCTAGTCATTTAATGGGCTGCTGCTCGCTGTCGGCAGCGCCCGCGGTGGTCCGAAGGTTCTGCTGCTGCTGGGCCGCAGCCACCAAGCTGGAGCTGAAGAAGAACTGTGAAGCGCAGTTGCCCTTAATTTATTCGAAACTTCGTAGATAGACTTTTGCGTTTTGAATTAGAGAAGCTGCTGGAGAGATTCTTGGCTTTTCGCCGTTGGAAACAGTAAAGCGCTCAGCGTGGAAGGCGCCAGCCAGGCACACGGCTCGAGTCGGACGGCTGGCGGCTTCGATTGTCTACACTTTTTGTCTTCTGGCCGCGATTTTCGAGAATTATTTGGTCAATTAAAGTCATTTTGCTCTAAAACGAGGCGAGCAACGGGGGCAGACAGCGGCGATGAGTCGGCGCGGCACAACATGAACACAACCTCAGCGGCTTCTTTCCCTTGGCGTCTGATGACCAGACCTCCTT